CACACACACACACACACACACACACACACACACACACACACACACACACACACACACACACCTTTTTTATTTTTTGAAGCAAAGTAAACTGGATAGTTGATTCACTATTAGTATTCTGAATAGCATTACAATCATGAAACTGCTAAGTGCATAGTCCTGATAGTCAAAACATCTAAGATGTTGCCAGATGGAGCAAGAAGAGAATGGAGAAAACACAAAGAAGGACATGCTACTGGAATTTAGTGTGTATAAAAATTATGGGTGAATATGTATCAAAAAGGAGAGAAGTATAGAGTTTAAGTCTTTGGCAGGGAAGAAATTTTTAGCCAATTTAAGAATTCTTGACTGTTTTGTTTTCTCAAAAACAAAGTGATGGCTCTGAAGATTATTAACAGCATTAAAGCTATGATATAGCACACAATTAGAAAAGAACACAAAAATACATGCATATCATAACTGTAATAGGTAAAATAGTGTGGTAGTTAAGGATATAGAATCATAAGTCATATTTTTAGAAGCTGGGTATGTCGGCACACACCTGTAATCCCAGTACTTGGGAGGCAAGAAGACTGAGTTACCCTCCAAGACACCTCTATAAATGCAACCTTTAGGAGGATGGCTTTAAGTTCTGGGCCAGTGAGGGTTATAAGGCAACAGCCTGTGTCAAAACAAACAGAACTATCTTAGGCTGTTGGGAATATCGTTTTGTTTTTAAGAGAAGTGCTCTGTGGTGCTGTGGTAGAATGTAAACACATGTATACACAGGTTTATACAATATTAATATCTCTACCTGAGAAGAAACTGCTTCTCAGTGTTTTTCTGGTCTGATGGTTAAATACATATTTATACTTTTAAAGTCAATATTTGTATAATAGACAAGAACAGTGCCTATCAGCTAAATACATATTTAGGACTGTACCACATGTATTACAAACATGTACTAAAATCGAAAGCTTATATTTATACAGAGCCTTTCATCTTGAAGGGGACTAAAGAGCTTACAAACATATGTACATAAAAGG